AACCTAACTGTTCAATTCTGTTTCCTAAGAAATTTACCTTTCCTCCTCGCTTCTACCCTGCCCACTCTTCCCCTTGCCTTCCTCCTAAATTATTCAACACGTTGTAACCGGATTGTGGCACGAACGCAGTGCAAACTCTCTTTAACGAAGCTTGAGGGGCCAAGTGTTTTCATTTGTTATAAAGAGCTTCCGTTGTATAGAATGTGAAGAAAAAAATACTGTACGGCCACAAATGACCAAAAATACACTTTTTTTATTTTTAACTGCAGAAGGTGTGCATAAGACAAATGCTCAAATTTCTATTGGTCTGCATGGCTTTTTATTTTAGCTTGACAATTTTTACCAAGCCAACATTTGGTTTGCATTTTTTAAATAAATGATATACTCACTTTCGGATCTGGAGAGGTGGTCTTCATAAAATAGAAAAAAAATACCACTTATCAGCGTCAAGGTCTTGTCTGATATTTGTAGGTGGTTTAGGGTCATCCAGTTCGTCTTCATCTTCTTTTAACTATTCGTTTGATATTTTTTTTACCGATTAAAGAATTTGTTGATCAGTAGGTTTCGCTATTGAGGATGACCATTACGTAATAGAGAGTGTTTCAAACTATGGGTAATAATGTAAACCAACCAAACTCAAGCTATATGTACGCTGTAGAGAATTTATTATTTTAAAGGAGTTAGTTATAGAGAGCTTACGCAGTATTACTGGCTTCTAGAGAATCAATGGACCATCAATCATTCTTTATCATCGTATGTTGATGCTTTATCTCACCAAAACTCGTGCTTAATGATGTCGGCTTGTCAAACCTCGTTGAGCTCTAAAACAAATACACAAAAATATTGTAAAATGTATTCACAAAAGAGAAACGTACTATATAACACGAAGTGTAGCTTGCAGAATTGACCGATGGGTGTTTTTGGCACATTCTTATCATAACTTCAACAAAAAATTAATATTCATTAGAGCAATTTTCAGTATACAAATTTAAAAAAAATTGTTTCGGTGTCATTTATTAACGAACGCAGTAAGGAGATAACGAGAAGGGATTCTATTTGGTCGAGATATTTTTCGGCTATTATTGCGGTTTTTAGTGCTAGATAGTTATGATGTATTTCCAGACATCGCACAATATCGTTTGTGTGCTTCCAATAACTTTTACTTCACTTTTTTCTTTCCTTCCTCCTTTCTTTCTTTCTTTCTTTCTTTCTTTCTTTCTTTCTTTCTTTTATTCATCTTTCTTTCGTGTTTCATTATTTCTATTTTTGGATCATTCACTCCTTTTCGTCTGTGGCTTTTTTGCTCCTCTCTCCTGCGGCGGTGTTGGAAATTCCTTGGTTTCAATGGTTTCAAATTAATCCTTAATGTAAAATTTGAAAAAACCCAATCACTACTATCTACTAACGTTATTTCGAATTCACAAATCTATCCAACCTTTTTACCAAGCATTTAATTCTGATCCGTTCATATTGAACTTTTCTTCCTTATTTCTGCTGGACCCTTCTATTCCTCGTCCTTCTTCTCTGATAGAGTGGTGGTGATAAAACCTTGGTTCGCATTGTCATAAAATCGTGTGCACGGATTTCACGGAAGAAACCAATCCTTGTCTAATTAAATACTATTTTACTATCTACTTAAATCCAATTTTAAGACACTTTTAAACATTTTAAAACAAATTGCAATTATTCATTCCATTGTACTTTGTTTAAAATATATATTACTGTCTCAAGGAACGTGATGGCATAATATTCTGGGGAAATACATCTTATTGCTCCCAGACATTTAGATTACAAAAAAGAATTCTAGGAATAATAAGCAAATTACACCCTCATGATTTTTGTAAGCTTCTCTTTATCAATCTAGGTATGTTACCTTGTCTCTTGATATAGGCATCAATGTTTTTCTGTCCAAAATATTTTACTTAATAGCGGGAATACATATTCAGCGAACGCTGATATCAATAACTACAACACTCGACGAAGTAATTATATTTATCAGGTGACAGTATCAAAAGCTCACAGAAAATTCACAGAATTTATGCACGTTATTTTACAGCACTTTGCCAAATGACATTAAACGATTAAATTCCATACAAAAGTTTAAGTTCCAAATAAAATATTTTCTGCTGCAAAACTGTTTCTATACAGTTAGAGACTATACCGAGCATCCAAAAGGAAAGTAATATTAATTTTAACAATGACATTTAATATACTATATACCATTTGGATTGTACAATTGTAAAGAACCTGTAACTAGTATTGTACTTCAGGTTCTGGGACAACGACCCCCCATGTAGATTAGGTTTTCGTTCGTCCAGTTTCGATGATCCACGAGCAAATGCTGAGATGGCCCCTTGTTTTGCTTCTGGACTTAAATGTAACTTCAAATTAACTTCTCCCCATAGCACATCACACAATTTTTAACTGCTTTTGATGTTAATAAATACATAAAATAAATTAAATTAAATGATTGTCTTAAAATTGGATTTGGAAACGTTATCAATGAAAAGCATTAGAGACAATCATAATTTAAGCGATGAAAAGTTTAGATACGATTATTTACATGTCTCACGTTCCACAAAACACAACCATTTAATTCAATTGAATCTTGTTCATAGATTCTTTTTCGATCCTTTACATTTTTCTTTACTCTTTTTTAGTTTCCGCCTCACCCTTCTCTTTTTTTCCTCTCGCTTCTCCTCCTGGAATGAATGGACAGATTTAACATGCTCCTCTGGGCAAATGAGCGTTTTAATTCATTCGTTTCAGTTTATTTTCTTTTTGGCATCTCTTGGTCCATTCACACTTCCACAACCCCTCTCACCCCTCGTCTATTGACGATGCGGGGATGCAATCTGATTGAATCGTGTAATGTTTTAATAAAGAATGTAAGATTTGATGAGAAATGAATAATAGACTGTTCGTGATCGTTTGTTTATTGTATGTATGTAGTTGGCGAGACAGCCCGTGAATGGGCTCAGGCCTACTGGCGACGTCCATGGGTTAAGGGGGTACGTGTGGTTAGCATGGAGACGCCGTATTCCGGTCTTCTCAACCTAAGAAGTGAATGTCCTCATCGTTCCAGAGCAACATATACATTGCAAGGAAAACGCACCCTGTAGTCATGGCTCAACTGGAAATCGAACCCGGAGCCGCGTGATGGAAAGCGAGCACGCTGGCCAAGAGCTGGCCATGAGGCTCGGTTGTTTATTATTCTCCACAATTTTCTACGCAATTTTGTAAATTGAGTGCAAGTCGACTATCCAATTCTGTTTCGTTGGAGTCTACTTCCTCCATATCTTTTCCAGTTGCTCTTCAGTAGCCGAAATAATTGAGGAACCATTAAACTAACCCTTCTGACTAATTTTAATCGATTCATTTACAACTACAGGGTGCGCCAGAAAAACTTACTTATTTGAAAAAATTCCCGCGCGGTGAGTTGAGCGGTTAGAGGGGCGAGAGGGGGCGTATCTGGAGGGGGAAGTTCCCAAGTTTTTTCTCCTTCCAGTCAGTTGCCATCATGCTGTGGACTAGAGAGCAGAGGGCCTTCGCAGTCGAGAGCTTCTTTTCTAACGGTATATAATATACTCACCGCGCGGGAATTTTTTCAAATAAGTAAGTTTCTCTGGCGCAACCTGTATAAGTAACTCAATTTCGTAACTCGAGCATTTCATTCTGTTTAACCTCGAGGAGTTTTCTTCTGTTTCTCCCGTTTTTTCTTGACTCATCAGTTTCTTCCTTCCACTTTATCTTATTTCTATCTCCTTCCTTGATGAAGAGAACTATCAGTTACTATTGCGCGACCGAACCGTTTTAATTCTTTCATCTATAACATTGTTTTCTATTTGTTTATGTAATATTTACCATTTACTTCTCCCTGTTTCCACCGGTGGCTTGAATTAGCGCAATTAATATTCATCATTGTGCATCTTTAATTTTTTCGTCCAAATCATTTCTTCTTTTTTGTCTCTGCACGTATGTCTCAGTTCTTTTTTTATCCGTCTTCACAGGGGAAAGATAATTGACAGAAATTACTTGCATCCCCCCGCAACCTACTTCTTTTCTTTCGACAATATAACTTTATTCATTTTTTCTCGTCTCCACAGTTTCCCTGCTTGCTTCTCCTCTCCTCTTTTATCCAAATCATCTCTTCTTTTTTTTCTCCTCAACTATGACCCCCATCCACTTTTCCTTCGTCTAGCCTTTACTGGTGGGGAGAATTAGTATGCATATCAACCTAGCCCTTTTAATTCTCTTTGGCTCACATTTTTTTCTTTTATCCTTGGCTCCGCTAAAACCTAGCTCTCCTCCCCTTCTTTCGTCCAAAACACATCTTCTTTTTTGCCTCAATCCGAATTGTCCTCCATCTTGCCTTTACTGGTGGGAAGAATTGGCAAAAATTACATGCTTCTCTGCGCAACATAAGCCTCTTAATCCTCTTTCGTCGTGATAACTTTTTTACATTTTTCTTCGCTCCACAGTTCCTCTGCTCGCTTCTTCTCCCCCTCTCGTCGAAATCAATTATTATTCTTTTTTTTCTTCTCAACTGTCCACTTCTCCGTCCTGACATTGCTGGGGGGGGGGGGAGAATTGACAGAATTTACATGCATCTCTACGCCACATAATACTTTTAATTTTCTTTCGCACAAATCGTTTTTTGTCTTCGTTTTTTCTTGGTTCCACCGTATCCCAAGCCCGCTTCTGCTCCCTCTCTCTCTCGTCCAAATCAATTCTTCTTCTTTTTCTTCTCAACTCTCCACTTCTCCGACCTGACATCTCTGGTGGGGAGAATTGGCAGAACTTACATGCATCTCCGCGCAAACCTAATCCTTTTAATTCTCTTTCGCACGCTTTTCCTCCCCCTCCTCCTCCCTCTCGTGTCGGCGGGTGCGGGGGTGGCCTTGGGAACTCGTGACTCACGGCCTTCCCCCTCCCCCCTCCTCACGCCGCCGCCGCCGTCTTCTTCCGAGCCTCCTGGAAACCTGTTCCTTCGCAATTAGTTCCAGACGTAGCGGGCGGGGACTTCGCCGAGACGACACACGCGGCGTCGCCTCAGTCAGACGGATCCCGGGAGCGCGCGTGCCGCAGTGGGAGTGCCGAGGAGTGCGCGCGAGTGCCGGGAAGTGCCCGCGAGTGCCGGAGAGTGCCGGGGCGACATGAACGGCCACGCCGTGGAAGACAAGCCGCCGACGGCGCCAGCGGAGGAGAAGCTGCCCAAATATGTGGAGGAGCGCGCTAGCAGGGGTAAGTGTTCCGTTGTTGTCGCTTGTGGGTAAAGTTACAGCCAGAAAAAAAGAACAGTTGCAGTATACCAGATCCATGACACAAGTTCCCTTGTTACAGTATCATGGATCTGGTGCACGAAAGTCGAGAGTTCGAAACCCGCGTAATGCTTGATTGCTTTCAGATGCGTACGTGGAGTAGGGGAAATTCCGAGTTCATCCTTTATTTCATTTATACCCTAAATCCTCGATAATGTCTGATCTTGAGATGCAAATGTAGTGTATGAGCGCAAGTTACTTATATTTTATTTTACTTTAGTTCCCTTGCCAGATGAGACTGTACTTTGGTGTTTTGCGAATAAATGTGCTTGTCTAAGATGGACAGTTAAAACGATTTACTACGAATTCGCTCTCTCCGAATACACTACAGCAACTGTGTTACAGGCTCGTGTGTTCTTTTTTTCGTGTAGATTTATTTTATTTAGTCAAAAACCAAAAGTGTAAGTGACGTATGGGGGAGAAGATCGTCTGCGCACTTTTTCTTGAGTTCCAGATTCCCTTCCCATTATATTAACTACAATATAAAAATTTGAAAGATGAGTAAAAGTATCAGGGATCTGGTATACTGCAACTGTTCTTTTTCCCGCGTAGATTTATTTTATTTAGTCGAAAAACAGTATAAACTGTACATGACGTATAGGGGAGAAGATCATCTGCGCACGTTTTCTTGAGTTCCAGAATCCCTTCCCATCATTTTAATGATAAAAAGTTGAAAAATGAGTAAAAGATAAATAAAAATAAAATTTTAACAAGCGATAAATTTTAACAAGATAAATAACAACAAAATTTGAAAAAAAAGCACATTTTCGTTCCCGAGTTAGTGAGTAAAGTTTTAGACGGATGAAACCGTCTATGCCGACCGACCGACATGTAAGGCTCGAGTGTGTGCCCACTCAGCAGCCCGGTCTGTAGGATCGCGGGTTCGAGTCTCGCCGCGGGCATAATTGTTTGTTCCTTGTCTTTCAAGTATGTGTGTTGTCGCGGAAGGCCTTGGGAGCCTGCTGACCGCAGACCGAGGAAGCCGCAAGAGTGTCTAGTGTAAAAAGGTTGATATGTGTCCCCGTCAGGGACATACTGAGTACCTGACGTGGATTGTCAAAATCGACATCCTCTCAGGCTGAAAAAAAAACAGAAAAAAAATAAGATATATTATTATTATTATCATTATTATTATTATTATTATTATTATTATTATTATTATTATCATCATCATCATCATTAGCATGGCAGGTTCAGAGTTTACTGCAACGTTCAAGAGACGTGGAGTGGCGAGAGAATTTATTTGGAGAGCTCAGAATATCTTCTACTTCTATTGTTGTTGTTGTTGTTGTTGGTGGTGGTGCTGTTATTATAGCATTAATATGTATTAGAGCTGTTCCAAAGAAGATTACGAACGGTGTAAGTGGCGAGGAGACACACTTAATTTTGTACTCGAAAAACCGGATGACTGTCTGCATCGATGTGTTATGCATAACTCTATCAGATAAGAAACTTTTGTGCGGAAAGTAGATAAACACGCCAGGAATAAAATGTTCTAGAGGTGTTCCGGATATCATTTAGGTATTTTAGTTTTTAGGGGTACGTTACTTACAGCTTTTGATACTTTTCCAAATATTCTGAGAAAACGCCTGAACATTTTGTCTTATAGCAAGACAAAGAACAAAGAACTTAGAGAAGCTTAGAACATTTGTCAAATAGCAAGTAGGGCATTTATAAGTATGAAATAGTTCCTATATCATTTAACCCCTGACATTTTGAAAATTGAAAAAAATATTTATAATTAAATCATTAAAGGTTTTCGTTTAGACATAAACTTGAGTGTTCCATGAACCAAAGTTTAGATTTTTGCTTTAAATGAAAGAACACTAGACCCTAGATCTTTTTATCGCTTGCTATTATTTATTGTTTTTATCGCATAAATATTACATTGCAAAAATATCTCTGAATTAATGGAATAAACGTTTACCTGCCGTCGTTTGTTCTCGGCGTTGTTTCTTAATTCCGTTGTTTGGTTGTGTGAATCTATTGAGAGCATTCAAAGTTTCGTCATTCAGGGCGAGAAATATTATACTATATTACGTTTTTAAATTACGGTTTTAAATGAAGTTGGTAGCAGGTTTTTCTTTAATAATTCACTTTATCATACGTGTCCAGATCTTAGTAAATATAAAACAATTCAATTATATTTTCAAAACTATGCTTAAGTGTTTTGACAGTGAATAGTGATTTATTATTCGAGAAATTGTTGTAAAATCCCTCGTTTCATTAGCCTTTGGTACTTAAAAATAAAAAACATGAAACAGTATTCTGGAGGATGTTTCCATTTTCCGTATGGTGCATATGATGTTCTTTTCTGTAGTTACTTTTTTAGATTTCTTCCATTTGTGTGAAGTAATTAAAAGGGTTTACACACAAGTCTGTAACACAGTTGCTGTAGTGTATTCGGAGAGAGCGAATTCGAAGTAAATCGTTTTAACTGTCGATCTTAGACAAGTGCATTTATTCGCAAAACACCAAAATACAGTTTCATCTGGCAAGAGAACTAAAGTAAAATAAAATACAAGTAACTGGCGCTCATACACTACTTTTCCATCTCAAGTTAAGATATTATGGAGGATTTAGGGTTTAAATGTAGTACAGGATGATCTCGGAATTTTCCCTACTCCACGTAATAATCTTAAAGCAATCATGCCTTTACAGGGGTTTCAAACTGTCGACTCAAAGTCTCGTACCAGAGACCCAACGCCCCAAACCCCCGACTCACGAGGCCAGATCACTAGAACATAACCTATTCTCACGTTACACAACCTATTTGTAAACATGATAGGTTGTGAATCAATACATTTATAAAACGTATAACCTTTTCATTCATACGCAGCCTTTAATGAACTTTGTATCAATCTTTGTATCCAAATGACATTGGCATCAGTACTTTCCATTGCAACAATTCGAATGAACTTACATTATCATTAAACAAATATGTCGCACTTAATGAACACTGCGCAATATGGTGTAGAACTACGTATCCGTGAACGTTTTGGCTTAGTTTACTTTCGTGTAATATTTATATTGTAGAAATTGTTTTATCAAAAACACGTACATTTTTCACATTTTCTCAAATTTAACGTCCCCTTTTAGTAGAATTAGAATATTACTGCTAATATACCATCTGATTCTATGTTCAAATTTAAGTTGAGAATTTGAAGCCTTTTTGATAATATCTCGTTTTTAAAATTGCTAATATTTTAGCAAAAAATACTAAAAATCTATTAATATTTTCAAAACAACGTACATGACATGATTTAAATAATTAATTTTGAGGAAACAAACTTCATTTCAAGAATAATCTCTATCTTGTTTCTAAATAATGTAGTTATATCAAATTGTAGTATTTCACTATATACTTGCTAGAAATTTTAAAAAAAGCAATTTGGAGCCACTTTGAGATACTGTTTGAAAATGTCTTCCCAAAATGAAAAGTACCTCCAAAATTCTGTGAATTCGTTCCAATTTCGCAGGCCTTCGAATTGGGCCAGGTCGATCGGGTAATATGCACTTTGGAAAGAATGAGAAATAAGTTAGGCGCGATTCAAAGAAGGACATCTATGAAAGGGAAACAAATTTTGTTTTGGGTATCAGGGGACCCCAAAACTTGTATTTTCGAATAGATGTCGAAATCGATATTCCGCAGCATATCAAACATTTCTTTGTACCAAGTACATTACTCTGTGTATACGTACGTATACAAGAAATTAAATAGTGAAAATGCGGAAAAGTAGAGCAAACATGTAGTTCCAAAAGATTAAGTAAGTCTTTAACAAACAGGTTCGGATAATTACACGTGAAGACGGCTAAATGAGATTACATCAGTGGTCTTGAACTGCGGCCCTGGGGCCTCACGAAGCTAGTGGCCTAATTTTGGGCCGCAGCAAACACTAATTTTGGGCAACATTACTTAACTTCCAGCGACGTGTGTAGTTTTTCGTTAATACTAAAGAGAAACTAGTGTGCTTAATTTGTAATAAATATCTCCGGAATGAAGGAATGTTTGTATTAATGCTAAAATGGAAATTAAGTGACAGGGAATCACTGTCAGGTCAACTCTTGGATGTCATTGTGCTATTTGTTTTTCATTAACTTTGCGAAGTGGGAAAGGAAATATGACGCACACATATGTAAACTCATGTTAAGTAACTCTGAGAGGTTTTGTAATATAAATATGATCTATTTGTGTTACGACTCATGTTATTTGTTATAAATAAATCAGTGCATCCCCCTACAGTTTCACTAAAAATAAAATGCGGATTATGTTATAAACGTTTGAAGAACTGACTTACAGATTGCAATAAAAGAATAAACGCCTTTGACAAAAAGGATTGATTTGTGCTATTTTTGCTCTAGCCAGAGACAGATACCTTCGTTGTTCAGAATTTGTAGATGAAATGTTAACGTTTATCGTGACCTACCACTTTAAGTTTTAAAAATTTACCTTCTCCGCATTCTCGAAAAAGAAAGTTGTCATTCATGATTTTGGAGATAACCTCTAAATTACGGGAATTTACTTTTTCTGTCTCAACATCGAATAAATTTTCACAACATATCTCTTCATTACAAGTGCTTAGCAATATGACAATTGTATCGAACATAGTTTGCTAAAATTTCTGAAATGAAATGTCTTATTTATTGAGAATATTAGATTCAATTCACTTATCAGAAATTTTCTGTCGAATGTATTTAGCTGGAAATTAATTCTCATTTTAAATTTGGATATTGTTTAGAAATTATTCAGAAATGTTATTGGAAGTTTCTTGGCCTTAATAAAACAGACTGAGTTTTTTGTAACTATTTATTTTATGTTATATAACATGTCATACCAGTTGACCGGATGAAGCTGACATGACCATTGTTATGTGAATGGCAATGTGAATGATTATGAGAACTGCTTATCATAATGCTTACTAT